AGAGACAGACATGTGGGGATTTGAGGGAAAGCCCATTTATCCCATTTCATGCACACGTCCATAATGTCAGAAGGCTGTAGTACGAGCTCTGCATGGAGGTGAGGAGCAGAGGCTGCCAGGTGTTAAACGGAGTCATACCTCTGTGAGGAGACAGCTTCAAGGCCGGGTAGGGGGAAGCAAGCTGGTGTCTCTCTCTCTCTGCGTCTATGCTGCGGCTTTACAAACACCGGCCACCTGGAGATTCCTGAAGGCAGTGACTCGGTTAGGGCTGCAGGTGGCGCGCTCATCGACGGCCCGGACGTATGACCAGAAGGCAGTAGCTTGGATGGCAGCACTGGCCATGGTACCACATGAAGGTATTCACCTATGGAAGTGGAGAAGCTCAAGCTGGAAAGGCAGTTATGTAATATTGCTGTTTTTGGCTGCTGTTTCGTTGTGACTGACATAGGCGGTGAGGAGGCCGCGGAGCAGGTGGCAGAGCCGGGTGCTTCGCGGAGGACGGCGGTACACGCCAACAGTCCTGGGCACAGCGTGCCAATCCGCTTTGTTGTGGTTAATGAAAGGGTGGCACGTTCTACATGGATGCGATGAAGTCGGGTCACTCTCAGCTCCCGTTCCAGCTTCTGCCCGCTGCTGAAAGCTCTTTTTATATTACAAGACAAAAGCCACAGATATTCGGTTTTCTTACTGTTAAACATGCAAGTAATTTTATTGTTTCGGTCATGCCCTGTGATGGGTTGGCACCCCGTCTTGGGTTATTCCCTGCCTGGTGCCAGTGGCTTCTGGGATAGGCTCCAACCCCCCACGACCCCGGATAGGACAAGCGGGTATGGAAAATGGATGGATAGACAGTCCCCTTGCTCAGACTTCCTCGGGTCTTCATACTTCCTGTGTCCCGCAATGTCGGTTCTGTCAGACGATTTTCTGTAACACAGTCATTATCAAACGCGGGGAAAAAAACTGCTGTTTCACACACAGCCGGGTAGCCATATGCAAATATGGCGAGTCAATTAAGCGTGGAGATTCTTATCAGACTGTGAATCAAAGTGCCTTTGGTGTCAGACAGCTGGGTTTGGCTCCTCCGAATGGCAAATATGGCGCATCGGTGATTGTCAGCAGATCTAACGGGTCGTCTGTATTGTCTCGGCGCTGGGAAATTTCTTTTTATCGCACTTCTTGCCGCAGCGGGAATATCGCTCAGCGATTTAAACAACACTGTGGAAAAACAAAGGAGGAATTCTTGCTTGGATATTTTCGTTCCTTGGCCCATCCGGCGTCTCCTTGAGACTTTTTTTGACTGCAGAAGGGCTCTGTCATCCCTCATGACTCTGCGGCCTCTCCCCTGTCTCAGAAATGCCGCTTTGCAGACAGGCTGCTTCTTTGACGAGTGGGAGGTGAAGCTCAGGTAATATCTCGGTGGACACTATGCTCCACAGGAAGGTGCCCTCTGTGATGGCACTGCCACTGAGGTTCATCTGGCACGCGGCTCCATCCTGACCACCATGCAGTAATGGGGGAAAAAAAACAGGCCCCAGCCCTGACCTGTGCTGGATCAATTAGTTCATGAATTGATCGGTTCATTAACAGATTTTTCTCCGAGGAGCCTCACTTTGGGGTGTCAGGGAAACTCTGCAGCAACCCAAGTCTTTAACAGTGTCACATGACCTCTGTGTCAGAGGGAAGATGGCTTCGTTGTGAGAAGGGCATCCCCGAGACTGCTAGGAGGTCTGGGTCGAGGTGTCATTAATCTACAGCTTGCATATCGATGGGCCAGTGGAAGACTTGGAATTCCGGGAATTCCCAGCACCGTGACGTAGCAGATTCCATTGTGAACGGTTTGTGTTTGTGCCATTAAGCCTATGCAAAGCAGCATAGTTCTGTCACTGCACAATGCCCAGCGGGATTCCGGTATGTTCCGGATTACCGGCACACCAGCCGGGAGAGCAGCACGGATGCGCAGCGGCAACGAGTTAGAGGGGACAAATCGTCCTGCAGCTCAGAAAGGCTGCATCCCGGGTCCGCTTGAGCGGAATGATTCAGACGCAGCAGCAGCCAGCATGGAGCGAAAATGTGGAGATTGGGAATCATTGGAGTCCAGTTTCTACAACAAAAAGCCTTTCGATAACAAACAAACCGACGGCAAATTGGAGCCATCGGCCGCCTCTTATCTATGGGGAGGCGAGGGGGGGGGGCTAAAAAATGGTAGCGGTAAGTTCACCGCGATGCTCGGTAAACAGGCACGTCTCTCTAATGCGACAACACGGTCACACAGCGGCGGGGGGGCATAGTGCCGCAGGGCTGCGCCATGACCACATACCGCACCCGTCATCTTCTGCATTACCACGGCTGGCATGATGCACGTGTCAAAGCCCACCGAGACCCCAGGGGAGGGCCGGTGGGGGGGATTATTACATTGTTATTCATATAAACTTGTTTAAAGGAGAGGGATTTGTAATCGTGCCCCCCATGCCCTGGTTGCTGGTGCTGGCTCTGTGATTTCTATTAGAGGCAGTGAGATTAGATCAGACGGATGCGAGAGGGATTAGAGTTAATACAGCTTCCTTAAGTACAGCTGTTCATCGAAATGAAACTCCAACGGACGATGAATAATGTATCCGGGGGGCGCCGTTCACTTGCTCAATGCACGTATGCATCACTTATCATGGGGCCCACACATCCCGCCACCGCAAGCTGCCGCGTTTCTAAACACGGACCCGACACAGGAAGGGCGCCTCATAAACACCTGGCAGCACGGCCGTTGGTGCACTGTGGATGCGCGATCCGGTCGCCATCAGAATGTCACACAACAGGTTGGGAGAGAAGCCGCTGTCCTGAAACAGGAAGTCCCGCCTCTTTGGTCAGCTCCTCACGTCATTCATTACTCATTGGCCTATGTCTATTTTTGTCTTCCTTTTATATTGCATCTACTCTAAGTGGGGATGGTTTTAAGCCAGTACGTGGTGCCCAGTAGAGCGCCCCCCTCTGGCAGACGTAGCATACATTGGGTAACAGGAGGAGCCCTTTGTGTGATCATTAAAGTGACAGCCTTCCATTAGTACCCACTGTTGCTGTGCTTGGTGGTCTGTGGCCACGCTTGACAACCGCTAAACGCTAAACTGGCCGTAAAATGAACGTGATGTATCTGGGTAATGCCTCAGCTGTCTGGAGGTGACAGGAGGATGCACCCTGTTTCTGTAGTTAACAACACGGCCTAAATGAACAACGGCCTGTATGACGATGAAATTGGGCTACTCATTACTGGTGGTAAATTAGATTCGTTTTATCAAGTGGTGCACCACTTTTGCTCCTTGGAGGACAGGCTATAATTTAATGAGAGTGTTTTCAGCCAAGTCGCTTTCACCCTTGATATTTTCTTTTGAGAATAAACAAGTCCTTTTCCCGAAGCCATTATGTTTCTCGGCTGCAGTGAGTCAATGGACTTACTCTTCGGTGCCTGCGAATGGATCAAATCGGCAATACTACAGCCACGTCTATGGGATCTCTCTCTCTCTCTCTCTCTTTCTCACTCACACACACGCGCGCGCACCCACACAGACACACACGCCTGCACTGATTACAGCCCTTTAGAGCCGTCGCGTTTAAAAACCCTTAATCTGGATGATCCGCGATGCGCTCTTGTACTGCTTGGCAGAAACTCTCCCGGGTTGTTTAATAATCGGCCGATCGTAACACTGGCTGCGCGACTACATCTGTAAAATGTTATATACGGGCACATTCCACATACAATAAGCACACGCGGTATAAATAGATATGTTTAACATGCGTGTGGATTCTTAATCCAGGTTAGAGGAAATTCCGGAAACGAAATGAAAGTGTCATTGTGGTTCTGTTGTCGGCATCACCACGTCGGTTCGTAGTCCAAAGCGCATATAGCGCCATGAATCCCAGAGCTGCGATGCGCCGGAACCTGTCTCTCACTCTGCCCTCTGACACGGCGCTTTTCAGAAGTCACTCATCATATTTCTCATTTGAGGAGGGTTTAATTTAAGCAACAAGCTCATCTCGTCGGAATTCATTTTCACTTTCTCTGAGATTAATAGTTTAATTAAAAGGTTGCTCCTGTACAGCGGTTGGAAGAATGAGAAAATGAAGCGACATTGCACTGGTGTCGAGGCTCGGAGAGTGACACTTTGTGGGTGCATTTCTCTGTATGTTTGACCATTAAATAGGCCTGTAAAAAGTCGAAATTCTCCTGACAGACCATCAAATGTATAATTACCCAACAGAAGACATTAATAGGGGATTATGTAATGAAAAGGAATTCAAAATAAACTAACAATTCCCCAAAGACTAGTTTTGTATTCAGTCTATTGTGGAAGCAATGTTGCGAAATACGAGTTTGTCAGTCTTGTCGAGGATTGCACGTCTGATTGCTTAGCTGCAGGGAGTCTTTATTTAGAAGTGTTACCATATTTTCTCAAACCTAGCAATATGGGTTTTAAAATTCCGCGATGAAGATGTTGCCTTTATGACAGTCGTTTGTATAGTAGATCTGCTTAATTTTCGGTTCAGGGACGGCTTAAACATACCAGCACTGAATCTGTTTAAATTACCCTGTAAAATATTGGAGAAAAGCTTTTTAGTGCTGCTGATCTAGTGCTTTTTAGTGCTGATTATAAAGTTATGAACGAAGCCCTAAAAAAATAAACATTTAAATATATGACATATTAGCATACTGAATAGATTATCCTTGGTATTTTTAACACGTTTAAGATATAACGGTAATAAACAAATAGTATATATGTGTATTAAATACTTATTTTTAATATTAACAAAATTAATTGGTGAATAAAATTAATCGAATAAAATTTAGATAAATGTTTACTTTTGCTAGTCGTTATGTATTTTTTGATGTGCATTTCGCCTAGATCTTGCGAGATCTAGGATCCTTCGCCTTTTCTTGCCACCACAAGGAGGCGGTAGGTGTTGTATGTTATTTTTTTCAGGAATAAACCTCGCAAACAGCGCTTTACCGCTCTTTGGCTCCACTCTGGTTCATCACCGCCGAGCTTTTTGCAGAATACGAGTGCTCCTGAAATCGGCCCCCAGTGAACCGGGGCCGGTCCTATGGGTCGCGGCTTGACCGTGCGCCTTTAACGGGAAGGGACCAGGACCCGGGGCTGCCGCCGCCGCTCCGCAAATCTGATGCTTTACTGTGGGGAAAGTGTAGAGTGCGGGAGAAAGGCGCCGCGGCTCCGGGTGAAGCAATACTGGGGGAGATGGAAGTCGTTTCCACCTAAAGACACTTGGGGAGCCGAGGCTCTACTATAGGAAACGGACGGAAAACTGCTCAAGTAACTCAGCAATGAGTTGCACTTAATTTTCTCAGTTTGCGTGAGATTGGCTACTAAGGATTACCCTTAAATATTTATCAATATTTACTCACGTGTTTGACTGAATATAGACACTGTAATAATCTTTTAATGCCAATATTTTCTGTAAATATAGCGTATGAATGAGGACAATGAGATGATTCAAGCCATGCAACTTCAATAAGCAGACTTAAACAAGTGGAAATACCTCGCCGAGAACAGCTGCTTGGAAGACGGATAAAGAGATTAAAAAAGCAGGTGAGGTCAAGCGAAGCTTTGAATTTATTATTTCGAAATAAAAAAAAAAACTTTACCGTCTGAATTACGGTGTATTTTGGAAATAAAATGGACAAGTACTTTGATATCTACCGCGAACTGCAAAAATAATACAGATAATAAACGGCGGGTTTTATTCGTCCGCTTTTATTTGCCGCTTTAAGGTATAATCTGTCGCCTGTTGTTATGTAATGATGTTTTAATATCCCCGTTTCTGACTCCTTCATGTGCTGCTATGCGTGTACGTGTGTGCCGCTGACCTCGCTTTATTATAAAGGGAATAAAGGAGTTTTCGGGCAGGATCTAGCGGTGAAGTTTGCTGCTGAGACATCCCCCCCGGCTCGGTCGGGGTGGGTTGCGGTGGCGCTTGCACGGCTGGTCACTCTTTTACAGAAGCCGGTAACTCCGCGGATTGTCTTCAGGACCGCAGACCAGCTTCGGGATCGTAGAGCAGCTTCAGCGTCGCAGATCAGCCCCAGCCGGGCTTCATCTGTCACTCCCGGCGTCGGTGGTCGTCCCTTAGAGCGCCGGGGGTGGGTGCTGGCATGAGCGTGGGGGCAAAACTTACCAGGGGCGCATAAATGAGCTCCAGCATGGAGGGGGGCTTAATGCCTGGCATCCCCCACCCCCGCACATGTAGTTTGTCGCTTGATTTTTGGGCGGCAGTTTGACAGGAGAGCTGCTGTGTGTAATCACGTAGTTTATTTACCGATGCCATTATTAGACGTACTATCCTCCGTACTTCACAGGCAATTAAATAAAACGCAGAACAAATGGGAAAGCAGCCAAGTTGGTTGATGACGGCTAAAATTAAGAGTTAGACTACGGGTATTAAACCCCTCTTTGCCTTTCATACGGCATGAGCATCTTGGATATCACCATTTTACTCATCTTGACTAGCCTACTCTGGGAATAGGAGAGTAGGATGACATGTACCCTGAGTAATAATACATCCCAGTGTGTGCAGCACAGGTGTTAATAATGGAGAACTGCAAACCCCGGGGTTTTATCATGATGTTACTTCACGTTGCCCCAGTAAGTAGAGAAGGAGAAAATGAGGACGGCGCCCGTTTTGCGCCTTGAGTTTCCCCGCTTTTCAGTTGTTCCTTGTTTTAACCGCGCTTCCTGACCCAAATCCTCCGCAGACATACGCGAAAATAACTTCCTGTGTTTTCTTGCGAGCGCTTTTAACATTTCAAAGGAGAAAATGTTACGGAGGATCGAACTATAGGACATGGGGATTAGCAGGCAGGAGTTCGCCCGCCACCTCAGAAGCAGCAGCAATACGGTGTTATTTTTGGGGAAGTACGGCCGGGGATAAAGGAAATAAACAGAGCCGGGTGCGGGCTGCCGGGTGCGGGAAGCGGACTCTGCGTGGGGCTCAGCTGTCAGTCCCGCACCGTAATTCGGAGCAGCCAAGGTCGCTTTGAACGGAGCCTCCAGTTTAGATGGCTTAGCCGTTTGACCTACCACTTTGTAATATAATTTGCTTCAATCAACATCATCCATTTCCGCAACTTAAACGTCTATCCGGACGTTAATGCCCGTTGAGGAAATGCGATGTAAGCGCACATTTTGGGGAGAGATGGCAAACCACATAGGTAATTATTATGTTTTATTTTTGCATCGGTCATGCTTGTCTTGTTCACTCTGGACTCGCCGCAGCATCTGATTATCCATTGTCCATAACATATCTGCGGACCGCTATTGCCGGAAACATGTGGGATTGATCTCCACTGGAAGGCCCCGGAATTCACCCATTTTATCATCTTTCTCATCACTGTCCTCCTGTTCTCGTAAATGTGCTTAATCAATGCTTCGTTTTAGTCTGTAGCTATTTGAACCTTTATATATCCTGATTGCAGAAGGTGTGTGTGTGGGGTGGTGGGGGGGGGTTGTTTCTGACAGAGCACCATCACCTAAATTTCCTGAGTCCTTCTCGAAATTTAGCAGGCAGTCAAATGTCAAGCGCACTGTAAACCACAGTAGAGTTATTCATTTTAAGCCGATGGATGCAGGGGGAGAGAGGGATGTAGTGTGTGTGTGTGTGTCTGTGTGTGTGTCTCTGTGTGTGTGCGTGTGTGTGTATACCCACCTATTGTATCTGAAGACTCTGAAACAGGGACCTGGTTAAAAAGACTGGGTAGGATGTTACAAAAGTGTCACCACGTTTGTAGGTGGAATTTCGGAGACTCATTTCGGAGACTCGTGAAAAGGTGGCTTTGTCATTGGGACCCGGAGCTGGGAGGAAGCCCCCCCCCCCCGTTATCCGTGACACGCCAGCTCTGCTCTGGCCGTGCTCTCTTCACTGCTGCGCTGCATTCGGGGCACCCGTCAGCTCCCCTTTTATTCATCTTGCTTATTTATTTTTATGATATAGTGCACCCCCCCACCCCCACCCCAAGCCCAGCAGTCTGCTGCACACTGGGCTAAAGTGATTGTGCAGGAGAGGCGGGCCAACATCCGAGGCCTGTAGGCCTGATGATCTCTTCAAAACTCTCCCATGCTTATTCTCCGACGCCATTTCCGGGGGAGTTAAATGGATCAGATGCCGGCCGGTTTAAAGTGCTGGACCACAGCGAGAAGATTGGAAATTACAGCATGTCGGCTTTGACCTTCTAGCAGTGTCCAAGCTCCGGGTCATATGGGGGTTTGCGAAAAAATTCCCTCTTCCATTACTTTCTGCTTGGCTGGGTTTTTTTTTTTTTTTTTTTTTGGGGGGGGGGGTCGGTTGCTGAGAGAATAAAACCCTAAACGCTGGTTACATAAGGGGTGTGGGGCGGGGTGGGGGGGGGTGCTTTTTCTGAGGACCACGTTGGAAAACAAATGGTGGAAGTTTACCGGCCGTGTCCTCGGGGGACGACTAGCAGAAGTCTCCACGGAGACTCCGACGATATCAGCGGCTAAATGAGAATAGATGGAGGTGCGGAAGGCGGAGTGAGAATGGCCTCTCGCCTCCACTGGGCCCATTTGTCTCCGTCGGGCCGCTCATCATAAACATTTTACTTTTCGACCAGGGGTCCGCAGCCTCAAATTCTAATTTATGATGCTGAAAGGAGCCTCCCTGGTTTTATTGTTGTCACCCGAACGCCGCGTTAAATGAGCTGCCCTCCGGCGCCTTTTATCGCGCGTTAATGGGAAGCGGCGGCCAGGCCCGCGCGACGCCGCATCGCCACGCGCGACCGCCGTAGCCCGGAGCAGGTGGACGGACGTCACGCCGAGTCTGTTTATGTAAACATGAATCAGGGGCAAACTGCTGAGCGGTTTCTTTATTTCTTTTTTTTTTTCGGAGGCGGTAAAAGCATTAGCTACCAGCTCAATGGCATGAATATTATAAGGAGACATATATAATTAAGTTTTACAAGTGCAAATCCGCGGCTGAAGCACGCCACTGCCGTCGTTGGTTAGAGGGTTAGCAGTCCTGGGGGAGCGGCTACTTAGCATTTAAATAGCCAGCACATTGGGGGGGGGGGGGGGCAGGAACAGAGGACGAGTATTTCAAAGGGCGGGGGGGGGGGGTATTATTTAGTGCGCAGTTCTTTTTTTAATAGATGTTTGGGCCGTGTGGGGGCCACTGACACTGTGGCGTAAATCAGCAGCTCTCTGGAGCAGCGGGGTGAGGAGAGCTATTGTTCAAGGAGGGAGGAAGACAGTCTGGAGGATTCTCTTAATCCCGTCTGCTGTGGTATTAAAGCGAGTTACACATTAGCGCAGTCATTTCCTCTCGAACGGGCTCCTGAATCTGCTGCAGATTAAACAACAAAAATTTAAGTAAAAAAGAACTGAAGCTCAGAAAAGCAAACGCAGGTAGAGTGATATTGCGAGTGAGCCGAGCCCGGTAATGCAAACAGCAGCCAACGGGGGCGCTCTAGGTACGGGTAGTACGAGGACGACAGCCAGCCCTCTTTGAGTAACGACGGTGTCTGACAGGCGAGCTGTGGGGGCGGGGGACACGTGTCTCGGTGCCGAACGGCCCAGAACCCGAATCGGGGGTGAATTGTGGCATTTGCAGGGTTCCACAAAGCCCTCCGACGGCCTGGTGGTGGGGAGAGCTGTGCCCTCGAGCAAAGGCAGACAGACACCCAGGTAGCTCTGCCTTTAAAACGTCATGCCCCCCCCCCCATATCGATCCCACCCCCCCGTGGCCGTGTGGCCGCGCCTGCCGCCGGCTTATGAGTGTATTTCACCGCGGGTTGCCGGCCCCCTTCTTTAATGATTTGTTGGGCCTCCGTTGTTATGAACACGGTGCCGAGTTTCTCTGGCCAACGATTTCTGGCTTGGCCCCGCGGAGGTCTCACATCTGGAAGTAGAGCAGAGCGCGCGGTAATGTGGACTGAAACGGATCATTAATTAGACAAACTGTCTATAAACATGAATCAGATTAGCCCCCGGTAAGGGACAGGATCATATACATTATACATAATTATGATATATTAATAAGACATATGGACAAAGCAGAGTTGCAGAATTTATGAAAGCTGGGCTTTCATTTTTTATTGAGGTCCACTGAATGAGTATTTTCACTGTCACATAATCTTAAATGTGTCACATCCCCTTTTGCCTGCACGGTTTCACACCAGTGCTGCCTTCTAATCAGGTACCTGAGTACAGTTGCCGTGATTCTGCTCCATTTAAACTGGACACTGGCGTTCTTGCTGTTCAGCGTAAGGCTCAGCGCTCACTCTGTTCCTGAGACTAGCTTCTTCGAGGATTAGTTTGTCCGGAATTTTATTTTTGGTTTTTGCTCGGGGTTGCAGTATTTGGGGAGGGGGCAACAATAAAATGCGGGCTGTCTAAAGGGGGATTTCCAGTAAAGGTACAGGGAAATATCTGCTGCTAATCTTTGACTTAAAGCAGATCAGATACTTATGGCCTCTGCATTTTGTTTGATTGTCTTGTTTAGACCCTGCACTTCCTTAGTTTGCATAAATACTTTTGGTTGTGGTTTCTACTCTCTCTCATGTTTTTTTCTTCCCTCAGTA